GACAGAATCACGATTCATATATGAATATATTTTTACGTGCACCCCTAGTTTTCTTCCTCTTCTCTAAAGCAACACCGGCAAAGGATAAGTATCGTTTTTTATTTCTCCTCTTTCCTACTACTTGTTTCACTTCTGTTTCAGTTTTTATAACCATTTCTTACTATATGCAAGCAAGTTGTTGTTTTTTAACATGTAAGTTTGGCAGTGTTATTTTTTAGGATTACTGATAATACTGGAATACTGTCGTTTGATTTGTATTTGTTATTTATTTTAATTTTGGTTAAATTATGTCTGAATTTATGTCTGTTTAGGTCTTTTATTAAGTTTTAGTTTAATTTAATTTGAGTAATTTTAATACTTGTGGATCGCCGGATAGGCTTTCACCGTGGATGAAGCGGAGTCCAGCCCAGGGTCGTCACATGTGGTTGCCGCAAGCCCGCCTGCCGCTCCTTCGTCGCTCACTCAGCACGCCGGCCTCTGCTCACTCTAGGCCACACCGCCGCTCACTCTAGCCCACCGTGTGTGACGCTGTGTTTCGTTGTGAAAGCAAAACTACTTTTGTTGGCCTTCCAAAAGAGTTGTATTTACAACACTGTTCCAGAATATTCATATTCAATATACTGTTCCAAATATTCAGATGTGTGCAGCACATTTTATGGAGGACTGTTTCCTGATCCTGGTAGACGACAATGCCGGCTGTTCTGACTCACAGACTGCAAGTACGTTTTTTATATTTAAAGAATTTGGCACTGACGATTCAAACGCAAGTTTTGAGCAGTGTAGAGTAGCACTTGTTTGTAATTTCTCCGATCAGAAATGCAGACATGGTTTTATGTTTACGCGGCGCGATGCAACGCGTAAAAAGACCGTATAAGTCATTATAATCCGTAATTATGTCCCCACTGGATGCAACAAATGCCTCGTTTATAATGGGTTTTAATGTTTTTTGTCTCGTCGCTCCGGCCGGGACACGGCATTACAGTATAGTAAGGGGCGTAACATTTCCGTCACACGCTTACTCGGCCAATCACAGCACACCTTGCTTTTCAGAACGATGAGCTTTGTAAAATTCTACGCGTTTCAGAAAGGCGGGGCATAGAGGAGAAACAATAATGTACAGTGTGGAAAATAATGTGTTTTTTTAACCTTAAACCGCATAAACATTTCATTACACCAAATACACAAAATAATGTTCTTTTTTAGCAACATCATATGACCCCTTTAATACAGTATACAGGGGACGCGAGGAACTGTATTGAGAACCCCTGCTTTAGAACATTGATTTTCAAACTTGTGAATCCATTAGAATCGTTAGAAGACAGAATCACGATTCATATATGAATATATTTTTACGTGCACCCCTAGTTTTCTTCCTCTTCTCTAAAGCAACACCGGCAAAGGATAAGTATCGTTTTTTATTTCTCCTCTTTCCTACTACTTGTTTCACTTCTGTTTCAGTTTTTATAACCATTTCTTACTATATGCAAGCAAGTTGTTGTTTTTTAACATGTAAGTTTGGCAGTGTTATTTTTTAGGATTACTGATAATACTGGAATACTGTCGTTTGATTTGTATTTGTTATTTATTTTAATTTTGGTTAAATTATGTCTGAATTTATGTCTGTTTAGGTCTTTTATTAAGTTTTAGTTTAATTTAATTTGAGTAATTTTAATACTTCAACAAACTAAATGGAAATGAAATATATATATTGAATTTATATATATATATATATATATATATATATATATATATATATATACATTTATAAATTCAATATATATATTGAATTTATAAATGTGTATGTATATATATATATATATGTGTGCGTGTATGTGTACAAACGTACAAACAACATGTATGTTGTTTTTTGGGTGTTTGGCTTAGTGTTATGTAACTTTTTTTTTTTTTTTTTTTTTTTTTTTTTTTTTTTTTTTTTG